CACATGGCAAATTATGAAAGAAATTACTGGAAAACAAAAATCGTGCTTAGGTTTTCTGCCGCAGATGATTAAAGTTGATAACATAAGTTTATATGACCCAAGAGCCATATCCCATGAATTTAATAAATTTTTTATTGGGATAGGTCCTTCCTTATCAAATAGGATTTCAAATACAACGGCTTCTTTTAATGATTTTCTCGTACCTATGGATAATTGCATTTGCTCTGATGAGTTATCTTCAGAATTATCTTTTGAGGAATTTGAAGTAGCTTTGAATTCTGTGAAAAGAAACAAAGCAACAGGAGCAGATGAAATTAATGGAAACGTAATTATAGATTGTTTTGATATATTAAAACATATTCTTTTTAAAGTTTTTAGAGCTTCTATAAATCAAGGAATTTTTCCAGAACAATTAAAAGTTGCTAAAGCTACTCCTATCTTTAAAGAAGGTGACAGATCAAATATTAGCAACTATCGACCCATTTCTGTTCTTTCGGTATTTTCAAAAATTTTAGAAAGAATAATGTCTAATAGAATATACAAACATCTCAACAAAAATAACTTACTGTACAACAAACAATTTGGTTTTAAAAAAGATAACTCAACAGAGCATGCAATAATCCAGTTTGTGCATGAAATCTCAAAATCTTTTGAAAAATCACAGTACTTGTTAGGTATCTTCATTGACCTATCAAAAGCTTTCGACACGGTAGATCATCACATTCTGCTTCAAAAACTTGAATATTATGGAATTAATGGTATTGCCTTAAAATGGTTTAGAAGCTATTTAACAAAAAGAAAACAATTTGTAATTAGTAACGACGGCTATCAAAATAATTGTCTTGATATCGTCTGCGGTGTTCCTCAGGGTTCAATCCTCGGGCCCCTACTTTTCTTGATATATATAAATGATCTGAATAAAGCTTCTAACCTTATAAGCATTATGTACGCAGATGATACCAATCTATTCCTCTCAAACAGTAATATATACGAACTCTTTACTACTATGAATAAAGAATTAAAACATATATCAAACTGGTTTAAATGTAATAAGCTAACTTTAAATATTAATAAAACCAAATGGACTCTATTCCATTCGCATGCAAAAAACTTTTTATTGACGAAATTGAAATAAAAAATGATTCCGTTACAAAATTCTTAGGTGTTTATCTCGATGAAAACATCGAGATAAACACCTAAGAATTTTGAACTGGAATCAACATATTAATTATATATCTACTAAAATTTCAAAAAACATTGGGATTCTATATAAAGCTCGTAACTACCTAAATAAAAATTGCTTAAAACAACTTTATTACTCTTTTAACCACAGTTACATAAATTATGCCAACACTGCTTGGGGGAGTACTGTAAAAAGTAAGTTAAAACTTCTTTATCGTCGTCAAAAGCATGCGATCCGCATAATTAACTATGCCGATCGTTTTACACACACAAAACCTCTTTTTACTGAAATGAGATTGTTAAATTTATTTGAACTCAATGTATTTAAAGTTTTATGTTTTGTATATCTATGGAGAAATAATCAATCCCCTACCGTTTTTGATAATACTTTCAAACTCAAACCTAACAACAAATACGACATGAGAAACATAAACTTTTTAAAAGAACCATTTTGTCACACAAAATTTAATCAATTTTGCATTGCTTATCGTGGACCCCACCTATGGAATAATATAGTTTTGCAGAACTTTGATTTACCAACTTCCTTTTACCTTTTCAAGCTCAATCTAAAAAAATGTATTATTTCTCTTGATAATATACTCAGATACTTCTAATATTTTGAAAATTGTTATACAACTTGAATTCAGTACTTTCTTTATTTTAATTTTTACTTTATTTTTCAGTGTTTTATACTGGTATTTATTTTGCTTGTTTGTGCTTTATAAGGTTCTGATGACAAGATCTTGTAATCTTCTTTCAGATCCTAGCTTATGTTTCATTGTAAGCAGTTTATGTATGTGCGCATCTACGCATTTGTATGTGTATATATGCTTATATTTATATATGTATGTCCGTGTTTTTTCTTATTTTAATTTAGTTGATAAATGTTGTAACACGAATTTAATTGTAACACGATATATATGGCATATATAATTGTACTTTGACATTTTAATGTAAGCAAAATTTTAAAAAAAAAAAAAAAAAAAAAAAAAAAAAAAGATTTCCACATATGAAAAATACAAAGAAATCAATAAGTTTGGTTAGGATGTGTAACGTTTGGAATGTACGATTTAGATCCGAATCGATGTACGATTTGGAAAGGAAATCAACATGTACTGAAACAAATGCGTGTACAAATCTTTCTGCAAATTGATTTAATGCTTCTGAAAAAATCAGAAAAAAGTCACTTAAATAATTTAAGATTGGTTTATAATAAAAAGAAACTTGAACATAGAGTCCATGCACATCTAAATACTGGAAATTTGTTTATTAGATTTATTAGTGTTTTTGAATTGATTAAATTGTCAAAAGTATTTTTGTATTCTAGTAGGTTACAATTATCTATAACTATTGGTGTTCACTAACGATTGGTGTTCCTTAATTAGATATTAGTAAAGTCAAGTTTGAAGAAACTTAAACTATGATTATTCAACTTGGACTAAGTCAATTCAAATTACTCATTCTACTGAAATTCTTAAGGAAAAGTGGAATTTAATTTGAGAAATATCTTGAAAAATTTTTTTTTCAAAAAAAAAAACTCATTTGAATTTTATGATGTACAGACATTGCAGAAGAAAAAAAGTTGTCAACAGATGTGTTAAGAGACGTTGTTTATGGTTGTTAATTTACCGAACCGCTCAACTTAGTTTATGGTTGTTAATTTACTGAACTGCTCAACTTAGTAATGACTTACACAATAAAAAATATTTGCGAAACATTCATACAAATTGGAGTTGATTCAGATAAAAACGCTATGAGATAAAAAGAACCTGAACCTAGTAAAAATTTTTTAAAGTTAAAACTAATATTTTGTAGGTGGCTTAAGGTAATTTATAACCTTCTCACGGATCATACTCTGGAATTAACCATTCTGTGGTTCTTGCATATTGCGACATCTGAAATAGAAATTTTGCCATTTAGTTAGATCTTCTAAAGCTAGACGATTGTATATATGTTGATTTGAGCTGTTACAGCTGATTTGAAAATCTTTTACTTTCTTCTAGGAATATCAGTATTATTATGCAACTTTAAATTAGAGTTTAAAAAAAAACATTAAAAATTGTAATGTTTTTTAACACAACATTTTAACTAATATTAGTCTCATGGCGGTAAGTATGCTTGTATCAGTGGTGATTTGTATCAATGGCGTTAAGTATGCTTGTATCAATAGTGATCAAAAGTTTAAATAAATTTCAGAGCTTCCTTAAACTAATTTCTCAAATTTTCTTAATTCTGGTTGTCTTTAACTAATAGGTGACTTTAATTGTTCCTAATTATAACGAATTTGCTTTAAATTAACTTTGTATTAATATGTTACTATTATATTATTATTACTTACCTTATATTATTATCTACCTTTTAGAATATTTGATTAGTTTCCAGGATATAACCTTACTGTAAACTAGAAAATGCATTCAATCTTAGTTCACTTGCAACAGTTTATTTTAAACTTACTGGCCATTCTCTTGGAAGATATAATGAACATGAATTAAGTCTGAATTGACTTATTCAAAAATGAAGATAATAATTCATTAATTCAATGTTTCACAAACAAGTTCAAAGCACTCTAGAGTTGCTGAATCGTTCAGCAAAACTAAATTATAGAATGAAAAAATCAGGTGTTGTATATTTATAAATTTAAAACTTTCGATAATTGCAAATATATTTTAAAAATGTTAGTTTACAGAATAAACAAACTTTTGTTTTTACAAATGGTTGCATTTTATAATATGAAGAATAATTATTAAGTGAGTATGAGTTAGGAAAATAAGTATTGAAATGTCTTTTTAAAAGAAGTTGATCTTTTTACTCCATTTGATAAAAAAAAATCCACTACACTTAGAAATTGTTTTTTTAAAATTACTTTATTTAAAAAAAAAAACACTACTTTTTATTTTTTAAGATTTTAGATACAAAATGGTGGCCTGAAGATACAGTGGCCTAAACAGTCACTGATAAAAGTTTCATAAAAATATTTGGTAGCTCTTTCCTAAAACATAAAACCTCTTTTTTTCATGTGCGAATTATTGATACACAAAAGTATTAAATTGATTAAACTAGTTTTTCAGAGTTTTTCTTTAGTACTTTCAGAGTTAAAAAACGTTTCTCTCCAGAATTTCATCGCAGTTTATATTATATATTATCAAATTAATGAAATACATTTTAAAAATATATTTTAAATTTAGTTTTTTTAACAAAAAAAAAATCAATTGCCTTTGTCTTTAACCAAAATCAAGGGTTTTATAATAAAACATAAAACGTTTTTTATTTTGGATGTTATTTATTTTTTGTGGTGTATGGGCGTGAAGTTTACATGCTTTTTTGAGTGTTTAATGCCTCAACATATTTAAATGATTTATATGCTCCATTTTTTCATTTTTAAATTTACAATCAACAAATAACTGCTACTCTTTAACTATGTCTTTTGCCCAACCCACTAGCAAAATATAAAAAAAATTCCTAATCAAGTTTTGTTACTTTAATTGTCGTACTTTGCTATTAAAAATTGTTTTTTTGTTATTTTGTTTTCTTGTATCAATAAACCTTAAAAAATTTGTAAAATCTAGTACTACTTATGATCAGTTTATCCACAAGCAGCATTTGTTTCTTAAGTGTCTCTATATGCCCTGCTCTGATTGCTTTCTTAAGTGTCTCTATATGCCCTGCTCTGATTGCTGTCTTAAATGTCTCTATATGCCATGCTCTACCCTAATCGTTTAAAATAATAATTGAGCAAAAAAAGTTCATCATCAAAAAGTTAATCAAGGTAAGTTAAATATAAAGTTGAAATTAAATTAAAAAAAAAAAGAAAAAAAAAATTAGAAGTATATAATTTATTATCTACAATAGTGAATTTTTATTAAATACAAATCGACGGTTGAAGTTTTTTTAAATGCAAATATTTTTATAGTATCGTGCTTCTATCGCTTTGTCTGTTCATCATTTAAGCCAATTGTCTCCATTTCTGATCCATTCAAGCATATCTGAACACCCATGTCACATTCTTCGTTTGTTCCCCCATTTTTTCGACACTCTTTTCCTTCGTCGAAGCATTCCTAAAGCAAATTAAAAATATATATATAACAGAATTGTTATAAATACATTGAAAAATTAAATTATTTTAACTTAAAATAATATATAATTATTATAAACTATTATAAACTCATATTTACATACGCTTGAACTTCTTTCAGCATTTATATTTAAAACCCCAAGAATTAGCACAAACATCAAAACAACCTTCATTTTGATGAAAACAAGTTAATCAATGGTTTTACATAAAAAAATACAGAATTATTCAAAGCAAGAAATTCTTATAAACACTTAGAATATAGGATTGTGGGAAAGTTTACCTTTCACATACAAGCGTATTAAATAGATTCCATATTTTACAGGTTCTATTTAACAGTTGTATATACACGACGTAACGTAACAGGTGTGTACATACTTTGTTCTATGTAAAGTATTTAGTGTAAGAAATAAATTGCTCCTAAGATTTTTATTAAATGCTAATTAATATTAAAGCCCATCAAATTGCAAACAACAATAGTAAAAAATATTGCAAAAAAGCATGAAATCAACAAAAGTTAAAACATAAAACAACTTTTTTATTATAAGTATCGTTTTATTGTGGGATTTTTTTTTTTTTTTAATTCCATTTTGTAGATAAAATAAAACTTTTAATACATCCGCTAAGGTAATTTCTTTTTAAAAAGATGCTAAAAAAATATTTTACTAAATTTGTTGTTGAGTCGTATTTTATTTTATTATTTGATATGTATCGAATGGTATTTTCAGCCACAAATAAATATGTTCATCTTTTTTTTTAATCATTTAAATTTAGTTTAATCTCATAGAGTATGCCATTCTTATCAAACTATTAATTTTGATATCAAAAACACTTTTTTAATTTAATTTTTTTAACTAATGAAACCTTTCTAGCGTTGATAGTAACCTACTTTATTTTGTTTTATATTTTTTTACAACTTTTTAACGTATTTTTTAAGACAGTCATCACTTATAGTTGGTATATATCAATTTAGTATAATAAAGTAATATTAAGGTCATAATAAGCTGAGAATTGTAAAAAAAAAAAGAGATTAAGATACAAATTTACCTTAACAGCTCAATCAAGGAGATTAAGCTGTTAATATAAAGTATATAGAAATAGTTTGATCTAACATTCAAAGGAAAAATATTTCCTTTGAGTGTTAGATCAAGCAAGCAGATTTGTCTGTATATAACTTATATATATATATTATAAATATATATAACTTATAGTAACTCGATATGTCAAATCTCAATTCTTAATTGTTTTTCTAAAATATTAGAGTGATTTATGTATAATAGGCTTTATTTTTTTTTAAATGTAAATAATATTCTTTACCATAAACAATTTGGGTTCAAATCTTTTTTAAGCCGTTTTTTAAGCAGCCGTGGCGCAGTGGTTAGAGTTCTGGCTCAGAACCCAGAGGTCCGAGGTTCGACGCCAGCTCTAGCCCAACAAGCGACATTGGTACGGAAGGAGGCGTGAACTTCCTGATAAATGCTCTCCCGCGGTGCTCTATGATAAGACCGGGGAGCACCTAAATACATACAAAAAAAACAAAAAAAAGTATATAGTATGTGATGAAGTAAAAACTAACTATGATACAATTAAATGTGGTGTTCCTCAAGGATCAATTTTAGGACCACTTCTATTTCTTGTTTATGTAAACTTTATTTAAATAAAGTTTTAAATAAATTTTCTAACAATTTAAATACAATTTTGTTTGCAGATGATACCATCTTTTTATATTCCAATAAAGATATTATTTCAAACAGTAAACAAAGAGCTAGACAAACTAACCCAATGATTTAAATCAAACAAGTTATCTTTAAATATTACTAAAACAAAATTCACTTTATTCCATCGTCTACATAAAAAAATAAGAAATTTGTTATAATATTCTCTTAGAATTTCCGGTCCTTTTTATTGATAATCAATTAATAAAAAAAGAGCAATCAATAAAGTATTTAAGCGTGTTTCTAGACAAAAATGTAACCTGGAGGGAACATATAGGTGTAGTTGAAAATAAAATGTCGAAAAATTTAGTTATAATGTGCAAAGTTTAGCAGTTATTAAATCGATCTTGTTTAAAAAACATATACTTTTCTTTGCTTACTTTATTCATTGCTACTTAAGTTATGCGAACATTGCTTGGTGCAGCACTTACGCGACAAAAATAAAAAAGTTGCTTAGCAAACGAAAACAGGCTATAAGGATAGTTTCAAACCTAGATCGTTTCTCACAAACATAAACACTATTTCATGAACTCAATATCCAAAATTTATATAAACTAAACCTCTATCATGTTCTTATTTTCATGTTCAAACTTGATAAAAATATATTACCAATCTTATTTTATACAATTTTTGAAAAAATAAAATGGGTGCGCCAAACGTTCGGCAAAACCGAACGTTTGGCTGTTTTACCGAACGTTCAGTTCGGCCGAACCTTGGCAATAGTTCCGCAGAACATGCAATAAATGCAAAATTTGGAAAATATCACATGATTTTTAGATTTGACTTCAAATTTAAAGCATTTGTACCGTATCCGGTAGCTACAATAAAATAAGTTAAATTTTAATATAAAATTTGTTTATTTTAATATAATATTAATTATTTTTTAACTCAAACATCATGTACATATAAATAAGCAAATAAGCATAAGATCGATAGATAAAATTAAATAAAGAGTAAATAAAAAAGTACATATACAGTCATCTACAACAACCCATCATTCGGACAGTCTTGATATAATGTTAACCAAACCAACAGTGGTATTTCTTTACAAAACTAGTTGCTTTGTGTATTAATTCCTCCTCTGCCATTTTTTGGTAGTTTACAAAGAAAACTGAAGGTAATAAACAATATTTATGATACAGATAAAAATAATATAAAAAAAGAAAAGTTAACAAATCAAGATATCCTTAAGAAATAAAGTATAAACATAAATATAAAGAACGCGGATACTCAAAGAAGACCATCAGGTTTTGTCACAGAGAAACCGCTATTAAAGAAATTAGATTTACCTTTATTTACCTTTTGTTATGGTGTTTACGGCTTCCATTAATCAAATTACTGTGTCTTCCGAACAGCTGACTCGTGCAAATAAAAATGTTCACAATTTTCTTAATAAATCTCTTGCGCACACTGAATGTAATTTGTCGAAAATAATTACTGAATATTGTTAATTGCTATATATTATTCACTATGTATCACTGAATATAATCAATGTAATCACATTTCCAGACTGAATATAGTTTGCTCAACACATGTTGTTTGGTTAACATATGTCGAGCAAACCGCATTTACTAAACTTTTATGGGCCCTGGTGCGGCGCACCAACTGCACCCCCTCTCTAGACTTTAGATTTTCACTTCGAGTTTAATAATTAATGCTTATATTTTAAATCAGCAATCGTTCGGTTGCTGAACTGTTTGGAGTTCGGCAAAATTTGACAACAATTAATACACTCTTGGGGGTATTTCTCGATCTCTCAAAAGCGTTTGACACTGTTGACCACAAAATTCTTCTTTATAAACTGTATAATTATGGAATAAGAAATAACAATTTAAAATGGTTTCGCTCTTACCTTAATATTCGGAAACAAGCTTTATCATATAACAACACTGTAACTCGACTTGAAAACATTACTTGTGGGGTCCCACAAGGATTAATTCTCGGTCCATTGTTTATATCAACGATATCTACTTATCTTCTATCACACTTAATTTTGTCCTTTTTGGTGATGATACGCAAGTATTTTTTAGCCACACAAACTCTAACAAATTAGTCTATTATTCAACACTGTTACTCAAGAACTTGAAAACCTGAACGAATGGTTTAAGGCTAACAAACACTCTTTAAATGTCGAAAAAAGTAAATGTATTTTTTTTACCCTCCTCTTAAAACTACCTCATTTACTAATTGATAAAACTGAACTTAAACGAGAATACTCAATCAAATTTTTAGACATAATACTTAATGGACATATTAGCTGGAGTAATCATATCAAAGTAATAGAAAATTAAATATCTAAATTTATTGGTATTATGTATAAAACAAAACATCTGCTGAACACAAATTGTTTATAAAATATTTATTTTGCATTCATTCATAGCTACAGCAGCTACTGCAACATTATCTGGGCAAGTACTTATCCTTCAAATTTAAATATGATCTACAAAATACAAAAATGAGCAAGTCGCTTGATATTAAATGCAAATAAATACGCTAGTGCCAGACCACTACTAAGAGAAATTGGAGTGCCTAATGTCTATGGAATAAATATTCTTAATATACTTATTTTTATGTTTATGTTTAAAAATGGTATGCTACCAAGCATTTTCCAAACTTATTTTTTTTTCTTTAAACCACAAATACGAAACTAAATACTCAACAAATAATTTTATTATACCAAAAACGTTATCGAAACAAGCTGATTTTTGATATCTTGCGGGGGATCGCGGCTATGGAACTTGCTTTTAACAAGTAATATAAAAACTTTAAATTCATTTCAACATTTTAAACGTGCAATAAAACAACACTTATTTGATTTTGATACAAAGCAATTACTATCCTATTATTAAAAACTTTTGATAATTTTAGTTATTTAATGTCTTAAAAATTGACGCAACTTCTTAATTATAGTGTTTGGTACTTAGAACTTGTATATTTTAAAATTATAAGGCAATTTGTAAATGCAATATTTATTATATCTAACGCAATTTCTAGATGAAATATGAAACAGATTTATTTGATTTTGTATGTATATATTTATGAACGGACATATATTTGTGTGTACGTGTGGATATTTGTGTATATTGTGCGTATGTGTGTGCGTGCGTGTATAATAAAAATAAAAGTAGAATAAAAAAGAGAATCAGTTCTTGCTTTAGTTTCTTTTTTCCTTTTTCATTTTTATCGGCTGAATTTTTAGTTATATTAACAAGCTGGATGATAAGACCATGTCTTCTGCCAGCTCCGGTCGAAACTTTAATGTTATATTTTTATGCTGTAAAAACATTGTAAAAGATTATTTTTTAATGACGAAAAAAAAAAAAAAACCCTGGCCGAACGTTTGGATTTGGTGTTCGGCCAAAAACCGGATTCGGTGCATTCCTAAAAAATAAATCACATATACCCTACTAGATTTTCAAAATACAACTACATTCAATCCAAAAGTTATTATTCCGCGACTAAATTCTTTATTGTAAACCGAGGGCCAAGGTTGTGGAACATAATATTAAAAATAAACTGAAAACTAATTATTCTCTGAACCAATTCAAAACAAAATCAGGTCTTTTTAGAGAACCTTATACAACTGAAAGAAAGTAAAAATGTATTGTCAGAATAAATGATTTAAATTTTTTTTAACATATTTAAAAAAAATATTTATAAGTAAATAAGGGTGTCTGTAAGGGTCTCAATACCAAATGTTTACATAGTTCGTTGTTATAACTTTACTAAAATTTTAAAACGCATAACTTTTTATCGGAACTTAGTTATTAAAATTTTTGTTAGCTTTTTTAGCTTAAAAAAAGGTTAAGCTAAAAAGAGCTAATAAAGATATGCCTTTTTTTATTTCTTAATGTTTATGTTTGGGGCCATCCATAAAGGACGTCACCATTTTTTAGCCAATTTTTCACCCCCTCCCCCCCCTCCTTAGTCACCGGTTGTTCTTTTTCCCTATACCCCCTTGAAAAGGACGTCATAAAATCCTGAACCCCCCCCCCCCTATTTTTAACTCCAAAAAAATTTATTTCATCTTGCAATGATGTTTGAATCTGCTGCTACACCTTTGAAAAATAAAATTAAAAATATTCTCATACACTATCTTCTCAAAAACACATGTTTACGTATTTTTCCATGTTAATTAAACTTAAAATAAAAAATCTATAAAGTGACGTCCTTTTCTGACAACCTCCCCCCTCCCCTTGTCCTTTTTAACTCGACCCCTTCCCCCCCCCCCCCTATTTAGATGACGTCCTTTATGGATGGCCCCTTTCTAATTTTTATTTTCAAAATCTTTAAATATTGCTTTTATTATCATCAAACGTGATTAGATTACGTCACTTAAAAGTGTAATATTATCATCAAACGTGATTAGATTACGTCACTTAAAAGTGTAATATTATCATCAAACGTGAGTAGATTACGTCACTTAAAAGTGTAATATTAGGTCAATCGTCAAAAAAGATTACTATTTTCTATAAAAAGCAACATTCATGTTTATTTTTTTGTGGTTATTAAGGTGTTCCCAGAAGTCTCTACGGTCTTATCACCGATAAAATAGAGCACCGCAGATGAGGATGAATGAACTTCCTTTCTAATGTCGGTTATTGAGCCAGAGCCGGTGATGAACTAGGAACATCTTGAATTGGAGCCAAAACTCTGACCAGTGCGCCACGGCTGCGAATGCTTCTTCGTTCAAAAAATCAAATTTAATTAACTAGGATATATTCAACGCAAATAATTAATGACATTAATATTTTGAATATCTTACGATTAAAAAATAAATAAAAGTTGACAAAATTGAAAAAAACTAAATCGATATACCATAATTGAGCACATTCAACAAATTGTTTTGAATTTTGAAATTTTATTTTGTTTAAATCAAAAGTAGGTTGAGTAAGATTTACAAATAGTTTTGCTTATTTATAAGTTGTTGACACTATAATACTTACTATAAATCGTATTGGGTTCGAATTATTACCTAGTTCATATGCTTTAATGACATCATGTGAGCGCAGGCACTTAGGTAAATTAATCTATATTCATTTTTTGTAAACTTTGTTTTCAAATTTCTTAAAGTATTTTTAGTTTATAATTTTAGATTTTCCAAGTTGTTTTTCAATTTTTTTAAAGGGCATCATTTTTATTTATTCAAACAAAGCCTGATTCTTTGTCAAAAAGATATATATTAATTGTATTGCTAGTTCTTTGAGACTTGATCTTTCTTTCAAATTGCTGCTCTTTAGTTTATCGAGACCTGATCCTTCTTTAAATTTGAACTGATCCTTTTTTAAATTTGCAGAAAAAGGTTTTTATAATTTTAAAAGTCGAAGTGTATTTTGTCTAAATTTATTTGCATCAATATTTTTGTTTGGATATTTTAATTTAAAAGTTGTTGCATTTAGAACTTCACTTGAAACAGAAAAAAAGTTAGATCCTAGGTCAAGCAATTTTTTTGATGTTGGGATATTTTTTATTTGTATTATTTCTTGTACATAACATTGTATATATCGTTAGGGTTTTTACATTTTGGATGATAAAATGCCACATATCTTAAACTTAATAAAATTATATTATAAAGGATAAAGCGATAAGGCTGTTAAGCATAAAAACCAATAACTGAAGGTGTCATGAGGTAAAAAATTTATCTTTTTGGATAAAAATGCTAAAGATGACGTAATTATGAAGAAACTTTGATAGTGACGCTGATCTTGATGCGACATTAAAAACAAATTTCGAAGCAAAATACGAGAAAATTGTTTCAATATTTAAAAAAATTATTTTTTAATAATTATTATAAATAGTTAAATCAAAATAAATTGTAATTTTTGGGAAATACATTTTTCTTTTTGAGATTTTTCTTCAAGTAAAATAAAGTTTTCAATTTCAACTGGAAAATACCCTAAAAAAAATAATTTAAATCGTTATTAATTTGAATATTTTTGTAAAAATGAACAAAATCATTGTTTTTGAAACACCAATCAAAAATTATCAATCAAGACTTACACAAACATCATGATCATTATAATTACATTCCATAGACCAATAAAAACTCTAAAATATCGTAGGTTTAATAGGAATTCTCGTATCTTGTCAACTAAAAAAATTATAATAATTTTTTTTTTAAAGAAAAAATAAAGTTAAAACAACGCCCTAAAATCTACGTCTATAATTTTTAAAACATTTGTTATGAATATACTTTAGTAATAAGCAATAATATAAACTTTGTTTTGTTAACAGGCATGATATATAAAGTATATAAAATTTATAAAATACGATATATAAATTATATAAATTATATAAGCTTTACTACTGCAATGTTTAGGCTTGAACTAAAAAAAATAAATTTGGTTTATTGTACACAGGTTAACATAAAACTTTTTTTCTGTTGCTGAGCAAGCAATACGTTTTTCGTATTGCATTTCTCACTTTGATTTCAAATATGCAGCAAAATCCTTAATATATTAATATACAAAAAAAGTGTTTCAAGTGTGTCAACCAGGGTCTCAAAAGAAGTGTTTTTAAATAAAGATTTTCTAAAATAATCTTTAAATAAAATTTGAAATAAATTTTTTTTATATTATTGCTGAGAAAAATTTACAACTTTAACAACTGTAAACATTTTAATCAATGTGGAACAATGTTTTTTTAACTTAGGTCTTAACTTGTTTAAATGATGATATAATGTAGTGGATGTATTCATATAATATGGAGTGATGTTCATTCAAATATTCATATGCAATGAAGTGGATGCATTTAAATGATAATGTGGTGAAGTAGATACATCTAAATAAAGATGTGGATAAGGATGTAAATGAGGATGATGTAGATGAGAATGATATGATGAATCGGATGGTGTGAGTAAGCGGACAGTGTGATGACAGTTTGAAATGGATTATGTGATTTGAAAGTGGATGAATCATTAACTTAATGTTTTAACAATTCATAGAGCAATATATTAAGAACATTGAGTTCTTTAACATAAGAATTTAAGTTGGTTGAATCTTGTTCCGATGGAATATTTGCAACCCAGCTTAAAAAAGGAAGTGGATGAAATATTAGCTAAACTAATTAGTATTAAATTAATTACTTATATTAATAGCAGTTAATTTAAACAATATTTAAAAAAAGTTGTGATTTTTCTGCAAAAAGTCTGATTAGTAGAATAAAATTAATCAGTTACTAATCAGTAGAATGTAATTTTGTTATAAATTAAAAATCCTTATCTTGATTATGGTGGAGCATAATTTTATGACTTAGTTAAATAAGATGGTTGCAACGAGTTAGTTAAGTATGGTGGTTACAATGTGAGAATTTATTAAATATGGTGGTTGCAATGTGAGAATTTATTAAATATGGTGGTAACAATGTGAGAATTTATCAAATATTTAAATTGTTATCAGGACCGCATAATTACTGAATTAATCAAAAAGTTGAAAATCTACACAAGTTAAAAACTGAATGATTAAAGCACTGCAACAACTGATATGATTCTTGATGTTTGATTTCAATCTGATATGATTCTTGATGTTTAATTTGTATACTTACGCATTGATTTTGATGTTTTAGAAATTTGATGTTTTACAAAAAGCATTAAAAAGAACATTTCAAAAGAGTTTTTGAATGAAGAAAAAGTTATTGTAAAAATAGAGCTTCTAAGAATCAATGCCAATTTTTGCTACCAAAATTTAACTTTTCAAAAAATGGAAATTTTAAAGAACTGTTTGAAAGACCTTATCTCATTGGTATATGATCAAAACATTTAACAATAATTTATTAAGCATAAGATAACCAAAAACACAAAAATTTAATAAAATATATCAAATCAAGAATAGTATACCAGCTCCAGGTTCTTCTTCAGTAAATGAATCACCACTTGATTTTTTTTTTCTAAATATTTTATAAATATAAATATAAATTTTTATTAACATGCTATATCTATTTATAGACTATTGTTCCACATTGAGGAACAATAGTTTATAATATTGAGGAACAACATTACTATTATGAGGAACAACATTATTTGGCTGCTAGAATACCAGTTATCATAATCTTAACTACTTTCTGCTAAATACTGTTTATTTGTTTTTCTATCCTTCAAAAAATCAAAAGATTTCTATCCCTCAGAAGATTTCTATGTTTCAAAAGATTTCTATCCTTCAAAATATTTAAAAGAATTCAACTCCAGTCAGTATTAGGATCATTATGATGAACCTGCTACTGGTATACATGTATTTAGTACAGGTAATCCAATACAACCTGCCTTGTGGTCCTGTCGTAAAATTTGCTGTTCAGACAGAGGTCAGGAGAGGCTAATTTTTAACTTGTTTTTAGCTGAGTAAAGATTAGTCTTAATAAAAAAAATACATCCTGGGCAGAAAATAACTGCATCTGGCTACTATCTTGAAGAAAGCCTATCAGGCAAAAAGCATTAACAGTGCCATGTTGCACATGGGAGGTTTCCCTCTTGGTGCTTTTAGTGTGTATTGTTAGGGCCACATGAAAAGTTTTTTGTTATAACTTTGAATCAATTAGCAGAAACAATATAGCTGCATAGCTTATTGCTATAGTTATGATGACTTATCAATGATTGATTCTCTATTAGTTAGAAACATAAAGTAACTAAAAAAATCTTTAAAAAATAAATGACATGACTATGAATAAATTGTTTAATCGATTTTATACATTTGTGGTTTTTGAAGTAACTTTTTCACAAGACCTACTTGCTTTTTTTGAGTCTTATTTATTTTGACTGTTTCTTCTGGATCATAATATTGATGGTTATTTCTTTGATTTACAGCGGCTTCAATGATCAAACTGTATTAAATATAGTAGTATCAATTCACCTATTAGTTTTGAAATTAAATTTGAATCTTCAGAATATTATGTGCTTTCATTCACACTTCTATCTTGATTATCTTCTATATCTTGTCTCTAACCCTAGCTTTTTTAAGTGGTTCTGATAATGCAATATAATTAAAACTTTTATCTTGTACTTCTTCAACATATTAACAAGACCATTGTACTTCTTACAACTACATTAGATTTTTTAAGTGATTTTCGTTGTGATGGTCCTTGTGTTGATGTTTTTTGTCTCTTTGCCAAAAACTGCGCATCCATTATAATAATCTAAATTTTAGTAGACATAAAAGCTTTTATTCCTTTTTGTTGGTTTTAAGTCGAGCCCGAGCTCTCATGGTTTTCTTCTTCTTATACAATTTCTAATTATAATCATTTATTCTTTCTGCAAGAACAACTTTCTACAAGGACAACTTTCTACAAGAACAACTTTCTACAAGGACAACTTTCTACAAGAACAACTTTCTACAAAAACAACTTTCTACAAGAACAACTCTTGGGAAAATAAATGTTTTTTTGGTCGTTGCAAGAAACTGACACAAAAAGGTGTTATCAGACATCAAAGTCCATTATTCTTAGATTACTAAATTTTGCATTTTATTTCTCAGAAGTTATGTTCTAATGACTTTAAGAAAATTTTCAACAAAATAACAAAAACAAGTTTAACATTCCATCTCTCCTACCTTTTATTTTAACATATCAAAGGCTTTCAATATTAAAAAAAAGTTTAAGAAAGAAACATTTATCTTTTCCATAAGTTCGCCTAGTTAAACTTATTGTATCCATCAGTTCGCTTCACATGGCGTATCTGCAAACATTTTAAAAACTATTGAACCACTCCATTCTAACCACAGTATTGTCATTGATTAACAATATTTTCATTCATTTTTAGTAACCTCAAGAGTACCACATGATTCCACCTGTGTCCTCTGTTGTGCCGTATCTATACTAAGAACTTTGCTGATAATCTCAAAGTGGCTCTATTTACTAACGACACACCTATGTCTTCTGTCTAGATAAAAAGTCATCACTTTGAATAAGCAGCTAATTTTGAATTTAATCTCTTTATACTTTATTTGCAAAAATTTTGTAAAAAAAATAAAATTTCATGTTTAAAACTATATTTATGAATTGTATATCTTAAATTTAACTTTTCTATTATTTAAAAGTTTAACTTTTATATTTTTTTAAAGTTTAAATGTTCTACATTTGTAGAACAAAAATTTATAAAATATGCATTAATTTTAGAAAAGCTTTACAAAAATTTTACAAATATGCATTAATTTTACAAAAGCTTTTTCAAAATATCAATGATATTTTGAAAAAAATGCTTTCTCAAAATGTTTTGAATTTTTTATCAACAATTTTTTTTTTTTTTTTTTAATTTTGGTATTTAATTAAATTCTAAACCTTTTTCCATTTTAATACAAAAATTAATTTTTAACTCTAAACCATCCTAATTTTCAAAATTAAACATCCTAATTTCCTAAATTTTGAAAAATACATTATTTTAATTAGACAAAGCAAACTTACATTTGCTTAGTTTTTAAAAAATTAAAATATAAAAATATAAATATTTTAAAAAATTATTTATTATAAATAAACCTCTTTATAAACTATAAATAGTTTTGAAACTTTTTTGTAAAGCATTTATTGTTTTGATTTATGTTTTGTTTTATTCACAAAATTTATAAATTTATAATTTTGGATATTGTTAGTATTATAAGTAAATACTTTGCCAACAAAAAAAAAAGTTATGATGAAATGATTTGAAATATTTACATTTTTAAAATAAAAACATTTTAAATAATTTTTTAATTTTTTAATAAGCATCATAATATAAACAAAATATCTTTATAAACTATAAATAATTTAAACAAAATATAAACAAAATACTTACAGTTTAAAATTCAGTATCGCACATGCATTAATCATAAGTGTGCTAAAATAAATATATTACTTTTATTTATTTTTCTATTTTTTTCAAAACTTTAAAGTATATGAGTATAAACTCTGTTTAAATCTCACATTTCTAAATGTTCATGTTGACATTCATATTTCTAAATGTTCAAATCAAACAGAAAAGATTGTCATCTTCCTTTTTATTAATGAAATAAAAAGATAAAAATTGATAACAAACTGGTACTACTTGGTACATAAAAAAATAAAATCTAACAATATAATTATAACTGGAAAAACACAGTGAAAAATAAATCTGTAAATCACACTGTGTAAATATCACACTGAAAAATTTTGTAAACCATACAATTAAAATTAAAGCCATCAACATTTTACAGTTTGTTTTTATGCAAAAAGTTTACAAACCAGTACTAATCAAGATGGAAATCACTAAGAAGATAGTTATCCGTTAAAGAAAAAAATATATACAATTTAACTTCATGTAAAAAAACTTTTACATTTTTTTAATTAATTCTTTTTGTATTAATACTATATTACAATTTAATTTAATTTTATTTTTTGAAAATTTTTTTAATAAAGTTTTTTGTGTTTAGCTCATTGAAAAAGTATTATTTTATAATATAGTTTAAAAACATTAACAAATAACAACTTCTGCTCTGGTTTTTATTTTTAGATTGTATTATTGGTATTTGTTAATGGATTGGTAATAACTGTGAAAATTACTAGCTTGTAATTTTCACAGATGTGAAAATTACAAGCTAGTAATTTGTAGTAGTTTGTAGGTTGTGCACTTTACATTCTTTTAAAATAATATAAATTCATATTTTTTTTTTTTTTTTTTTTTTTTTTTTTTTTTTTAACATCTTCACTTCCAACAAGGCTGCAAGCAACCACTATAAGAGTTGGAAGTTACTGGAAGAGAAAAGACTAAATCTGTAGAGCAAGATAACGATTGACTGATGACTTAAAAGATTGCAAATTATATGAATCAGGAAAGCAAGATGAAGGAAGCGAATTCCAAAGAACTGATGTTCGAGGAAAAAAACTAGAAGAATAAGAGTTTTTGAAGCACTTAGGAACAGTCACAGAAAAAGGATGAGACTTAATTGAATGGCGAGTAACACGAGAATGAATTTTAGTAGATGGCACAAGGGACGCTAGCTCTTTAGAGCAGTGCCCATTATAGTATTTGTAGAAAAGAGAAAGAGAAGCAACATTACGACGGTGTGACAAAGGTTGGAGATTGGCTGCCAGAGCAGGTCCAATTATGTTTACAATTCGTTTTTGCACCTTGTCTAAAAGAGAAAGAGCATCGTTAGAAGATCCGCCCTAGATGTGGCAACAGTATTCCATACAGGGACGGATTTGAGATTTATAGAGATAGAGAATAGAATCTGGAGTAAGAAAGTGTCGAGCTCGATAAAGAGATGCAACCTTAGCAGATGCTAATTTTGCAATGGATTTGATATACGGTTTAAAAGAAAGATCAGAAGTAAGAGTTAATCCTAGAAGATGAATGGTAGATGACTCATCTAGTACATTACCATTCATAAATATAGGAAGATCTAAATTATTACGATAACGATTGGCCGAATAAAATTGAGTTTTATCTGAATTAAAGTTCACCAGCCACTGTAAGCCCCATGCTGTAGCAGAAGTGAGATCCTTTTCAAGCTCAGATACCCCCTCCAAGCAATCAGAGAGTGTAGGCTTCTTATCATGACAAGAGTAAATGGTAGTGTCGTCAGCGAATAATGCCACCTTAGATGTGAGAATATCTGGAAGATCGTTAATGTAAATTAAAAAGAGTATAGGGCCAAGGATTGAACCTTGAGGAACCCCTGAAGTTACAGGATGTGAAGAAGAGTGTTGTCCATCGAGGACAACTTTTATACTACGATTGGAAAGAAAGGACTCAATAATCTTAAAGACGTTACCAGCTACACCATAAGAAGAAAGCTTATGGAGAAGACCAGCATGCCAAACTTTATCAAAAGCTTTAGAAATGTCAAGTGCGATAGCCTTAACCTCTCCACCTCTATCTAATGCACGGTAAAACCTACCGGTTATTACTGTTAGCACATCAGCTGTAGAACGAGAAGACCGAAATCCATATTGATGATCAGAAAGTAAGTTATTTGATTCAAGATGAGAGATTAAGTGTTTGTTGATTAAAGATTCATAAACCTTGCTTATGACAGGAAGAAGACTAATGGGACGGTAGTTAGATGAATCAGATCGCTCTCTGGAATTTTTGAAAATAGGGATAACAGATGCTACTTTCCAGCATGATGGAAAACAAGACTCTGATAAGCACTTGTTAAATAGTTTAGAAAGTATGGATGAAAGCTCCGGAGAACACCTCTGCAAGACTACAACAGGAATGTTGTCAGGACCACAAGCTGTTGAAGAGTCTAAGCAGGAAATTACTTTAGATACAGAAGCAAGGGATCAACCTGTTTGACGGCTATGTCAGGTAAAACGCAACTAGTGAAATCAAGAGATGATATTGATGAAAAGTTCTTAGCAAACAATTCAGCTTTGTCTTTAGGTGAGATGACAAAGTCTGAACCATACAAGAGAGAAGGAATAACAGATTTGCCCTTATTATTGATACTGTTAAAGATTCTCCAGAAGTCTCGAGAGCCTAATTTTTGTGATGAGATACGAGATTTAATGACCTGGGAATAGCGAGCTTTGGCGTCAGACAAAACCTTTTTACAATGGTTTCTGGCGATAGTGAACAGATGTCTGTTTTCTGGAGAATTGTTTTGCTGATAGATATGGAAGTAACGGTTTCGATTAGAAATTGCTGCAGCGCAATGTGAGGAAAACCAAGGGGAAGAGTGAGGCTTGACCTGGAATCGTCAAGAGGGAATAAAAGATTCCATGCCAGCCTGAATCCACGAAGTTATGTAAGAAGCACATTTGTCAGCAGGAAGACGAAAGATTTCTACCCAAGGGCCATCACGAAGAAAATCACGGAAAGAGTCCCAGTCAGCTTTAAGGTAGTTGTATGTGGTACGATGATAGGGGGATTCTGATGAAGTAGAAGAATTTGATAATAGTTTTAGAGAGATCAAACCGTGATCAGAAGTACCTAAGGGTGAATGTGGAGAAATATTATGAACTTATTTAGTTTTTTCATTTATGAATGTAACATAATGATTTAAAAACTATTCTAAATTCTATATTCTGTACATAGTTTCTCGTGGTCTTGTTTTTGCAGCTTAAATTACTCAAGTTTTTATTATATATATCAAAAATAATAGAGGCATAGTATTTATAGTGCAAAGCGATGAAAGTTTTAAACATTACCTTATTCATTCAGTTAAGTATCATTTGAAAACAATGAAATTCAACAACCTTTAATTATTAATTAATCAAAAACAACTTAAGAGGTTTTTGTAATTTTTTGATACAATTTAACTAATTGAATTATTTATTCAATAATTTTTTAAAGGATGTTTAGATAGAAATAAAATATTTTTACGAGAACTTGACATCTTCTTACTTTGAGTTTTTTTTGAAGCTGATATTCATTTTTTCTTGATATCTTTTGAAAGCTAATCTCTAGCTTTTCATCAAAAATCCTTTTATAATTGACCAATAACTTTCAATAAATCATTGCTTAGGACATTTTAGATTTTGAAGATTTGCTTTCATAGGTACAGATTCAAGGCCATTTTGTCCATACCATTCTTGAGACATTTTGAAGTAGTCGTATCATGCTTTTAAAAAAATGGCAAGAGGCAGTTCTTTAAGAGTTCTTTTGTATGCAAAATCCATGTTTAATGTTTTACAAGTAATTTATGATGTACCTTTTGAACCACAAGAGCAGATTGCCTGCCATATAAAAAACTTGGGAGCTAATTTCTCAATCGGAATACATTTGAATTTTTTGGTGACATATATACCTTTTAAAATATTTTAAAGTTGCCAGCCATGCAACTGTGAAAACTTTTTTAACAATAGATGTCATTGTCTTCAATTTTGCATAGGTTTTCTCTGTTTAAAAGTTTATATTGCTATTTTCATTGACACATTGCTTTGATTTCTTTATAAATGTATTGCTTCGGAGTTTTCTTTTTATGATATGCTTTATATTTTTGAGATCTAAGGACTTTTCCTACCAAAGCTTGGCTGCAATTAATTTTTCTTGCAATATCTCTCTGCAACTGACATAAATTTATCTTTATGGAGCACATGATAGATTTCGCTTTATATTTATATATAAATCCTTTCTTTTTTTCACTGAATGAATCTGCTTATATCAAATTTGCATGTTAAACATTAAACACTCCCTGTGTACTTATGTACTTATGTCACCACAAAATAAATTCAATTAAGGATCAAGTAAGATCATTTAATTTTGAAATGTCAACAGTGAAGAATTTTGAAGAAAAAATTCTAAAACTTATTTTTCAATTCATTGTTTAATCACTTATTTTAATCCAATAACAATGATAACCAATTAAACTTGTTAACTTTTTTTTTTTGACTTAACAAGTTTTAACTAAATTGTAATTTTAAAATTTTTTTATATGACTAACACTAATTAAACTACTCAACAGAAAAGATTTACAGCTGAAATTTTACAGTTTTTACAGTAATAATGATACTGAAAACAAACAACTTTTTCCCAGTTTTTTCAGTATGTTTTTAAAAACAGCCATTTTTCTAGTTTTTTTATTAGGCTCGACACCCTGAGAATGCAAGCAAACTCACAATATTTTTTTATATTTCTTAGACTAATTAATTGCAAAACAATAACCAGTAATCAACATTATCAAATGTTTATTAAAATCTATATAAAATGTAGATACATGATTACCTCTAGATGTGCAGCAGTTAATATCTTTCTTTAAATAACTTTTACTTAAATTTTTAGAATACTTCTATTTAAAACCAAACTGATAACCATCTTTGTTGTCTGCTATATTTATTTTTTACAATAAAACATTTTGAAATAACTTTGAATTAGTTGGGATACTGCAATTTTCCTGATGTACTTTAAAATTCTTAAAGTATTTAAAAATGAACTACTTTGAGTATTTTTTATGTTTGGTCACCATTACTTTTATTTCTTTTTGAAAACTCAGAAATTATTTTATTTCTGATCAAAGATAAGTAACCTCCTGGAGCAAAGCACTCAAATCAAGGTGTTTTATTTCAACATAAGGCAATCTAAACAAATTCAGTTTAAAAACTGAAGGTCCAGAAGTACTTTTAGCAAATCTTCCATACTTGGAAGATTTGCTAAAAGTTTCCATGGATTTATCGCTTCCGTACCTCAGTTTAAAATAGGAAAAAAGGAATACTTTATAAACAAAGTTTATAAGATAACCACGTTATGAATAAACATTCTAGCCATAAAACAAGTTTGTGAGAGCTTTTTTTGTCAAAAATTTAAAATAATAAATCATTCTTACTTGCACTTTAAACTACTAACTGTTGAGATGATGATTTTGTTAATCATCTTAAAATTATCTTAACAAATCTTTTGTTAATCATCTTAAGTCATCTTAACAAATCATAACGTTTAAGCAGAAAGAATTTTCGAAAATTTTAAATGCAAGAAAAAAAAAACAATTTTTTATGATACAAATCGTTCCAAGAATCAAATATTATCTTACCAGAATATAATCAGATTCGATAACATGATTTAAAGCATTAAATACAATAAATATGTTTACATATAATATTTTTGATGATGCACGGATTTTTTTTTTTTTTTTTCGGAAACTTGCGATTTAAATTAAGAAACTAGCGTTAGTTGTTTCTTAATTGCGAATTTCCGAAAAGATAAACAAAATTACTAATAGCTAGCTATTAGTAATTTTGGATATCTTTTTGTAAAAGTACGATTTACTGGAAAGAAAAGTTATAACATAAATAAAATAGTCTTTAACATTGTTTATAATAATGTTGATCTATATTTATGTAACTTAATGTATGTTTCAATATAATATATTCATTTATGTATACAAACGTGTTTATATTTACTTTCCAATCCTGGCCTGAATCTGCCTGAATTCTTAGAAATTAAAAAAGATATAAAATCTGTTTTACAAAAAATTGAATGCAAATAATATTTGCAGACAATTGCAAGTTTGTTTGATACTTGTTTGGTTCTTACTTTTTGCATAGATCCTATCTGCAGTGCAGGTTTTGCACTTTTTAGGGGCAGGAAAAGGGCATTAAATATATTTTTAATGAATAAAAAGTTTTTTAGACTTTCTAGTTCTTCAGACTTTCTTATTTTGTTTTAAAAATTAAAAAGAGGTTTTAACAAAGAAGAGGTGTTTCATCCCTTATCTTACCCAAATAAGATTTTGATTACACTTTTGAGACACTATTAAAAAAACAATAAATAAGTCTATTGATATTAAAAGCTAGATAAAATCTCTTTCTTTGTTTTTAACACAGGTAATAATTCTGTATGTTGAGTTCTAACTCTAATATACCCATCTCTTGCATCTTGACCATTTACCGACAGATGTTACTGTCACTTGTTTTACAGCACGCTCAGCACTTTGGGAATGAATTTTGAAAGAAAGAGTTACTAAAATGTCAATCTTAGCAAAATTATCTTTAGTAACTGAACAAGTAAAAACAGGTTCTTGTACTTCTTCTTTTTTCCATTTAACTAGCTCTTGAAGAGCAGTTGCTGCAAAGTTCAGTTCAGGTGTTTTTCTTGGTTGAATTTGTATATCTCCAAAGATAAAGCTTGGTAGGGAAACTTGGTATTTTAAACTTTTACAAAGAGGTTAAAATACCAATGCAAACTTTCATGGTTTGCATACCAAGCTCCTAGTCATAATTTTTTTTACTGTATCACATTCTTTCGGTTAATTTCGGAGGTCTCAATTGAGAAAGAATATGATAGAGAGCATCTTCAAGTTTTTCTTTTACTTTTGCGTCAAAAAAAAAGTTTAAAGTAAAATTGTAAACAGAATAATACAAGTAACTTTAGGTTCTTCAAGTTCTTCAATATATATATATATATATATATATATATATATATATATATATATATATATATATATATATATATATATATATATATATATATATATATATATATATATATGTAACCTTCCTTGTCACTGACTTTTCTCTTATGATTTTTTATATATTTTATTGTCTCTATTTTATCAGCATGTCTCATCTGAATGTCAGAATTTTCACCTGTCTTATTTCTTTGACTGTATAACCATCTGAGCTCTATAGTTGGAATTTTTCAGTAAAAATACAGGTGCAATTTGAGTAGGCTTTGTTTTTACAACTTTTTCAGGAAGTACACCCAGACAGATTATTCTCACATAGAAGTATAATATGAGGACATGTGGTGAGATCCATAAGTTTATGTAATTTCAATATAAGTTTTTCTTTTAATTTTACTTTAGTTATTTTCCATGCAACATTTTCTATTTTCTCCCAAAGATTATTTATTTGACATTATAACGATTTCTCACCAATAATAACTGGTTGTTAAAACTTAACACTTGCTTTTCTTCATTGAGTACAAACAAGTGGAACTAGATTGCTTGCAAGATCTCTATTTGTTTTGGTGTAAGTTCTTTTTGGTGTAAGTTCTTTTTGGTTCTTTCAATAAAATTATTTTTTGAATAACAGCTCTGTTTGTAGACAGATCACTAGAAATAAAATCTTTTCCAGGTCCATTAAACTCTGTAATTCTAATGATGGATGAACGTCTAGTCTTAGCTTTTGACATAATTTATGAAATAATAGTAGACTACAATCTTTTAATGATTTTAAACCGTGGAGAGTCGAAATTTATTTAAAATCGATTTGACACTAGGCTTTTTATGAAAGTAATACATAAAAATGGGTTATATTTACTTTATACTAATTTAATTTTATTTGAATAAATGTCTAAATGTTAAAATTTGGGTATCAAGACCTTTTCTAATCAAAAAGTGGTCCATACCAAAACTTGAAATTTAATTTTACATAAGAATATACTTTTTCCGAAGCTTAAATTTTTATTTTTTTTCAAAAACATAAGAATCTCATTGGGGTTATCTTGATAGAGCAACTCTCTTTGACCAGCGTCACGGCTTCAATTTAACTTTTTAGGGGCATTTCTTAGCGAAATCTTCACTTTTTTTTTTTAATTTTATTTTAGTTATTTGTGCTCCAAGAATTCTTATCACACAACCTTCTCACACAATCTTATCACAGAGCACCGCAGAATTTCATTTTAAAAAAAAGTACTTTGACTATACATGCATCATTGGTAGGAAAAGACCTTACTAATGATTGCTTATAAGAGCAGACCCGGCTTCAAACCATATCTTTCCAGTTCTAAAGCCAGATCTCAAACTACAACAAAATGCTACAACTCGGTAACTCTGTTAATATCAGGTATTTTTAAAAGACCAAAGAAACAAACAAAAAGATGTTATGGATAGACAAACATATTAAATATTATCATATATTAAAATTCTAAAAAATATTTACTTTGTTAAAGGAATGAGAGAAAACTTTGTTTTACTATTTATCTCAAATAAATGACAATTTATTGACGAATAAGTAAATAGAAAATAAATATCCGTATACTTTTAGAAGAAAAGCATAATTGAATGGTTTTATTAACAAAAATTATGTTTAAGTAGTAAAAAAATACAAAATTTAATCTAGAACTTAAACTATTTTACTTTAAAACATAAAAATTTCTTGAAATCTTTAGAGATTGGCTTTAGGGAATTGATTAAAATGAAAACGTTTACAAAGTTGAAAATTATAATTTGATATAATGATATTAAACTTTATAACTTTGATTTTTTTTTTTAATTTGTTTTATTTTACTTTTCATGTTTAAACTACAAATTTAAAAATTGTAATAAACTTTTTTTCAAATGTTATATTTTGACTGTAATTCGTAAATACAGCCTGTAACTTTTTACTTTGAAACATTAGTATTATGGTTTAGCTTTAAAGTATATTTTAGCATTGAATAAAGAAAAATTGCTTTAACTCGAACTAATATTTCATACCAGCCAAAGTTCGACTTAACGGGAATGCGCTAAAGTCAAACATTCGTTAAGTCTAACCTTTTTCCTTGGAGGTATTAATTATCGTAAAATAACTGTGTATATATATATATATATATATATATATATATATATATATATATATATATATATATATATATATATATATATATATATATATATATATATATATATATATATATATATATATAATGACTGTATATTGCCATGTCTAAGGCACCGAATGATATCCCCTATTAGCCCTATTAAAGCAAACAAAAAAAACTATGGTCTATAACAATATAATCCTAAATGCAGGACTCACAAGTGAACATATTGTTTACAATATTGTACACAAAATAATTATATAAACTATAAATGTTACTAACCGGAGCGTTGTCTTTATTTTATTTGTACTATGAATTGTGTTTTAAGAGCTTTAGGAAAAAATTCCAGTAACGGAGTTGACCAAATGAGAAAATAACTCGTATGACCTTAAAACTTATTGGATTTATGTATGGGTGAGTTCGATACATAATAGTAGTGGTTTTACTAATTTTAGTTGTATGTATTTTATATGCGGAAACCATGATCCACATTACTTTCAAAAAACTTTATAGCTTGTTTTTTAATTTGTTTACAATTATAATAATAAGTTTTGACAGTTTAAGAGGAAGGTTTTCTTTGTGCGTTTTTTTATAAAACAATGTATGTTGAGTTTTTTTTAACGTTAATAAAAAGTTTATTTGACTTTCACTTACTTTCTCTAATCCAATGTTCGTGTCAGCGTATAATTGATTATGTTGCTTTAAGATAAAAAAAAAATTGTATCATCTGCAAACATGATAGAATTTAGTTTTACTGATTTTTTTATATTACATTACATTACATTACAGTGTACGCAATATGAATTTAAAATAATTACTATTGAAACGCTAATTATTGCTATTGAATTTCTAAAAAATAAAAACATTAAAAAATTAACAGATGTACAAAAAATAAATACATTTTTACCAAAACGTAATTAAAAAATGCAAATTTAAAATGTAATATATGTATTACAGAGTTTCAAAAACCCAACTTATTATTAAAAAATCATGGTCCATACTCAATGTAGTTAAAGCGATTTATAAATTATTCGAACTCTTTATTTTGGAATTAGCATGATTTTGTCAATCGAACTCTTTAATTTGGAATTAGCATGATTTATGTCCAAACAAGAGTTTTACATGCTATAATTATTTTTGCTTTCAGTTTTTATAATGTTTAAAGAAAATTTTCTCTTTTTTATATAATTTTCAAAACTTTTTGTTACCTTTATTGTGAACAACACTATTTTAATTTTTTTTTTCTTTTTTTTTTTTTTTTTTTTTTTTTTTGTAGTTATTTGGTGCTTCCAGTCCTTACGGTCTTATCACAGAACACCGCGGAAGAGCATTTAACAGGAGGTTCACGCCTCCTTCCGTACCAATGTCGCTTGTTGGGCTGGAGCTAACATCGAACCTCGGACCTCTGGGTTCTGAGCCAGAACTCTAACCACTGCGCCACGGCTTAAAAAATTAATTGCGAATCTAAAGAGCACCATTTTTGAGCCTCTTGAAAATAGTTGTCAAAAAATTTTCAATAAAAAAAATTAGAATTCCGACCAAGAAAGAGCTTAAAACTGAATTAATATCTAGAAGAATTAATACCGGCAACATTGATGTATTCTATCATAAAAAAATTTCATCAAAGTTTAATAAGTATTTTGCAAAT